TGCTTGAACCCAATCTTCAAGCCAACTAGATGACCCGGGTTTCAAGAAAAGCCGCTGTCACACGAAACGATCTCATACCGCCCCTACCGAAAGACTCCCCAACTCAAAGGAGGTTCAAAGAGGGTGCAAGGCAATTAAGAGTTATTTCGGGCTTCTAGGGAATTTACTCAAGCTTTGTTTGGGGGATCCTCTGGAAACCCTGAGCCACCCTAAGCTCTGAAGCCTGAACTTTTAAACCGAATCTGCACCCGCCTCCCACGCGACCAATGCCAAAGGCACCCCTCGAAGGTGTCAGCGCTTCAAAGGGCTCATTGAGGTCCACCTGGGCAGCTCATTAGGGCATCCTTATTATTGTTACTGTTATTATTGTCATTACTATTATTATTACTAGTATTATTGTTAATGTCTCTTCATCAGTGAATTCCAGAAGTTTAGAGTTTACGTGGGGCCGTGATTCGCACGGCACCGAATCAACCGACCTGTATGAACCGGATTAGAAAGAACCCAGATATAAAAAAAAAAAAAAAAAAANNCGCATCGAACCGTGTGAACCGAAAACGGACTGCCCCAACCGCATCGAATAGCCGAATGCGAATCGGCCTCCATCTATGTCTATGTCTTGAAGTGCGGGGTCTGCCACAAGCGAAGGAAATATCATTGGCCCGCATCTGGTTTCCCCAGGCTTTAGAAGATTTTTGTGGGAAGCCTCCAAGCCAACCCACAAGCGGGGGCCAAATGATTTTTCAGGGTGGAGGCCTGAGGCCCCAAAAGTCAAACGGAGGCCAAGTGATCTTTGCTAGACCTTGGAAAATCGTTTTGAAGGCCTGAGGCCCCCCGGCCCCACACCACAAAGCGCGTTGAGGGTTTTGCCGCTTGCATGGCCATNNCAGCATCGCAAGGTGGAAATCTGGGTCCGACTAAAGCATCCGGCGATGGAGACAACTTAGGGGGAACTGTACTGCCTCCGGCACCGGGCGCTGTCCGACGCAGCCGAGTCACAAAAGGAAATCTGTCTATAGTCATCTCCCTATTCTACCGCAAACAGCTTCACAAATTGAGGCCCGAAGACTCAGCCAGCGCCCGGGGCTACTGGTATGTCAATCACTCTCAAATTACAGACACTTGCTCTCGCATAGCATGAACAGCTCGCGGGGTCCAGCGTTCAGAACGCACACCAAACTTGCTCTCGCGCAGCATCGACAACTTGCAGGGTCCATTGCTTAGGCCATCGAGCTTGTTCTCCTCCTGTCATGGCATTGAGCATCGAGCATGTTTTGGTACGGCATCACCAGTTGAGGGGCATAGCATCGAACTGGCTTTCGCATACGTTGAGGGTTAAGGGTTGATGGTTTAGCTACTCGACCCCCATCACAGACACGTGTGCGGGCCAAATGATTGCCTAGGCCTGGTTTGGGTTTAGGGCTCCCCAAATCATTTCTACCTAAAGAAAATCCATTTCTCCGCTTGTGGTTTGGGTGCATGAACGTGGGCCCTTTCCTTGAAGCAAGCGTGCATGCTGATCTCTCCTCGCCCATCATTGTCGGCAAAGAGGGTGAAGAGGTGTTGCACAAAACAAAGCCCGACCGAAAGCTGTGCACGAACCACATCGGGCCGGAAATTGTGAAGAAAGTAATGGCATCGGACCGAACCGGAGAGTGTGAAATAAATGACCGCATCGCAACGAACCATTATACGGATAACTGAAACCGCTCCGAACCGCACCATGGTTTTCATGAGTTTTGGTATTGATCGAAATACAATTTTATACAGCTATGATGGTCACACACTCTCATCTCCCATAGCGCTCCTGCTCACACCCGCCCTGGCAGAAGTGAGGTGCATGTGGGGACGAATGGGCCCTCAACGCAGGATTCCTACGAGATCTTTGTTAAGCCGAGACTCATCTGCAAAAGGTATGGAATTGTACCCCATGAAGCTTAGTCCTTGCTTCTGTTTAAATGCTGATAAACATCATCATAGCCGTCAGTACGTCCTTGCCTGTTTCATCCTGATGCGGAACGGTACATTAACTTCCGCAAGATTCCTCGTATGAGCATGCCCCCAATCCCTGCCAAAGCACCGAACCTCACACTGTCAACCCTGCACTCTTCTTTGCTTGGCCATTGCTATGTTATGTGTCATCGCGTACCACAATCCCTTAACTCCTTCATACTCCTTCGCAGTCCCGGTTGCAACCGCACTTCTCGACGAGCCAGGTCGTCGCAGAGCGACACTCAGCGGCACCTGCAGTACAAAGCGCCCTGCCTTGTCTAAAGTCAGGGGAATATGGGGAGTCATGTGAATCCGATCAAGTAAGGATGGAAACAGGCTATGCAGGGAGTAAGCTGGGGTTAACTTAGGGTTCGGTGTCAGGGTTTAACAAGCATTGCCAGTCTAGCCGTCCCTTATTGAGTGTCCCTGTGTCTCGGCTGGGGCGCTACATTTGTCACGAGCATTCATGTCCCGAGGAGCTGAGACCCACAGTTACCAACCTTGACATCTTGCAACCCAACCTGTGTGCTGCCGCTCTTCGCATCCAAAGCGATTTTTGGCCTGGCTTTTCCTGAGCACGTCCTCGTATGGATTTGTCTCCGAACAGAGGCCATCTTTTGCACTCCAGAATATGGGGATCCAGAGCCTTCGGGCTTCCAATTTTCATGTCGAAGATGAGCTCTAGCATCTACAAAGAAAGGCCCAAGTTCTGAGACATCCTCATGTAGAGGTATTTCCAAAATAAATATGTGTTTCATCTTTTTTGTGCCTACGGATCGGAACCCTAAACCCTTAAAACCCCAAAACCCTAGAGCCCTAAAACCCCAAAACCCCTTTTTGCATCTGGTCTCGTTTTCGAAACCCCTAACACCCTAAAACCCTAAACCCCTAGAATCCTAAAACCCTAAACCCTGGAAATACCTGTCATCCTCAGGGCTCAGCCCTGCAAAGCAAAAATGACTGCCAGGTGCAGTGGGCACGCTGGCTAGGGTTTAGAGTAGGATTTAGGTGCTATGATACATACATACATACATACATACATGCATACATATATACATACATACATATATATGTATATATATATATATATAAATGTGTGTGTGCGCGCATGTGTACATGTATATACATATATGTATATAAGGATGCAGAATGTGGAAGGATATAGGAAGGGCATATGAAAATAAGGAATTCGGGGTTACATTTTGGAGTGCAGGCATTATATAGGGATATAGAAGGGGTGTGTGTGTGTGTGTGTGAGGATATAGTAGGGGGTACATATGCACTACATGGAGAATGGAACGGAAAAGGAAATGGAAAATCAAATGGACAGTGGGATTTGTGGGCTCCATGGGGCGCTCTAGGGAGCCCTGGTTGAAGCAACAGGAACCACATCATGTTGGAGAACCAAAGAAGAGCGATTGCTTTGAACGCGTGGATGACATGGCTGGCGCGGCATCGGCTACGGAATCCCAGTCCGGTATGTGTGTGTTTCTAGGCATTACGGCATGAGTCCTGAGGGAGCCTCACCACAAGCCCAAAGAACGTAGGTTTTATTGGGGTGAGTGCAGCCTCAAACAAGGAAGCGCCATGACAAGTATTAATAGAATGCAGAGAAACTGCTTCGTCTGCAAGGTTCCTCGCCACATCTCCGGGGAAAGAAAGCCATGCAGGGTTGAGGTTTTGGGGCTGGTTGGGGTTTATACGGCTTTCTGCAGGTCTGTCTGTGCATTCTTGCTGTGATGGATGAGTATTTGTATCATTGCATCACCCTCGGTGCGCCAAGGCGTTGAACCTTGGCCAGCATTTCCTTGCGCGCTGGCGTGCTGGAAAATGATCTCACAGGGGGCCCCCCAAAGTGCAACCACAACCTTAGCAGGCCTTAAGTATAGAAGACTGAGCCTGAGCCATTCACAAAACAGCTTGGCTTGCTATTAAAGAGATCAAGCTACCAGACGATGGGCATGCAGTCAATACTGAGGTTTCCGGATAGTATTTTTTTCCGGCGGTTGGGGTCGAGCCACATCCCTAAATCTGAAAAGCTCGCACCTGTTCCCTTTGGGCGGCCCTGACAATCCTACGATGCGATGCATAGCTCTCATCCTCTGTTCGGAGCGAGCCCTGCAGACAAAATGGTCCTATGGGACTTCCGTGGGCGTTTTCAAACAGACTGAAATATTTGTTGGGTGGTAGATTCTTGGCAGATCGCATCACAGTATATACGAGTGCTCAGGTTTAGGTATTGAAGCGCAGCGGCTTCCTCACAGAATTCGTCTGCTGCAGCTGCGGCTTTAAGGTGTCCCATTCAGATCAGTAGCATGTCCTGCTGTTTGCAGAGCTGCCTCAAAACCTAGGTGGGCGCGCTATAAAGCACCACTGAGGAAAGCCATCAGATCATAAAGCCTCTACAGCCCCTTATAATCCCGGTGTAACCCCATATAATCCCTATAAACCCGACATAGTAGTTTGCATGTTATTTTCCATTATTCCCTCTAATGGGGTGCAGCCTGAGAATACCTGGAGTGCTTTCCTACCTAGCTCAAAACTCACCGGCACAGCCGTATGCAACGGGCAGCGGTCGGAACCTCTTGCCGGGACTCACTGATGCCATGCTTCTCCCTGGATGTTAAACCCAGCCGCCTCAGGAGGTGGGATCCCAGAAATGAAGCTGATTCCAGATTCCAGATAGGTCGGAGCAAATGACGAAAATGGAAAACAGAATACTGGTTCGCTGCATCTCTGCGCAGCAAGCCGCAACCAAAGCTACTTATCTTTCTGCCTTTTCAACAGGTTCGGGGTCGGTACGTCCAGATCCTGTTGAAAGCTGTCTACTTCCGACCGTGAGAAAACTAAATCCAGAGGATTATGCATGCAAACCTGCAGAATCCTCCCTTCTCTCTGCAAAAGACTCAGGCCGCCTGGCAGCACAAGATCCGTGAGGAAGCGATTTTGGGCCACGAAGGCCTTGTGCCTTCGTTCTTCCAACATCTTCCGACCACCATGTCAGAGCCTCACACGGTATCATCGCTCTGCTCCGTTGTCTCAAGCGTGTTGAAGTCGCCGCAGCAGCCTCTGCAAGATCAGGAACAAACAAGAATTTCGCTGATAAACCATGATGGAGCCCTGAAGAGTATCTGCTGTTGGGATCCCATGGCTCGTGCCTCTACTGACAGCTGTGCAGAGCATGGAGGGCGCAGCAACGGAGCCCAGTACCAAAAAAGCAAGCGAAAGAGTCCGTGGATTGATGTCACCGGTCCCAACACAGCTCTCCTCGGTGGTGATGGAATACCTCAGGTAATATAAGGTATGCCAGCGTGCATTGGCTGCCTTTGATGGCTGCTGGTCAAGGTAGATTGAGAACTCCAACAGCTTTGTCGCGAGCAGAAACGCCAAACTCTCACATCATCCTTTGGCCCCCCCTGGCCGCTACCCTCGAAATACGGCTCCCCTTGTGTCACGCCCATGATAGTACGAGTCAGGACCCCCAACAAAGCAGCGCTTCAGTGTGAGAAACTCCCAACTCCAAGGCACTCATACCAGCCCCAGGACATTGCAGCCACAAAGGCAAGGCCAGTCAACGCTTGCAACCGGAGGCCCAACTTGAAGAAACTCCTGCTCAAATTAGTGCGGACACACGTTCCAGGAACGCATTAAGGATAACATGTTGCATACGGATTCCAGAAGAAATCAAGGGCATTCTTCCTATCCAAATCACTGCTATTCATGGTGTCACGAAGTCCAAAAGACGACACCTTTCAGGAACTCCCAAGAAGGAACCCGTACTTGTCGGAAACCCAAACGTTTTGCGATCATGTGCTCAGCTTCATTATGCAGTCTTTACATACCTACAGCCCACTAGGGATCCTGGGATAAATGGGGATGACTGAAAGATTATGGGAGTCCCTTTGGTGAACTCTTCAGTGGGGCAATGACAGCCGTGATACTCAGAACAACAATGTCAATTCTACTTAAAACTAAAACCTAACAAAAATACTAACAATACTAATACTCATTGACAACCACAAGATTAACAATAATAATCTTGAATCAGCTCCGGTTTCGACGCTAGGCCCTGCTCCTATTCCCAACACACGCCAGGCACGTCACCAGCAGCTGCACCAAGGTCCCACAGCACCTGTTGAATCACGGAGTGCTCTCCCAGGGTGCGAGGATAGAGGATTATGAGGGGTCTGCATCCAAGATTCTATATGGTTGTTTCGAGCAACTCCCAGATGTTGCAAGGTTGCTGCTGCCGGTGAACACGGCACTTGAACGGCTGTTCCGCTTAAAGTGGTAGCCAAACAGAACTGCGCATGAAGCTGAACACCGCTGCTTGAGTATCTCCTCTAAATGGTACCTGCGACTTTTCCCCATCCCGTACACCGTCATGGAAGCTGACTGATATTGTCTTGCGGCAGGGCACATTGGCACCAGAGGGTAAGTCCTCATCCACAGAGTGAACCGATCCTTGGCGACCCGTAGAGAAGTGTACTAGAAGAAAACAGGCGCCAAGAATCCGGATAAGGGTTTTTGCAACTGACCCAAATCTAACTTGAGCTGTTGATCTGTGACTTCAACAACCCAAGCCAGGCACCTTTGAGAGCTGGCTGCCTACAGGAGGTACTTGCTGTGAACCCAGCTCATCACTCCCAGTGCAGGCACAAGAAGCTCCAGCTGATCTTGCAACAGCTCAGCAAGGCTGATAACGATTGGTGGTGCCAAGGGTCATAATTCTCACAGGTCGTTAGAACATTGGCAGCACCCAGGAAGAAGAGCACAGGTATCCAAACGCAGCAGCAGCTGTTCATGCAGAACATGGCTGCCAACACGACCGGTGCACCTTAGGTGTCTACGCAGACTCGCTTCTTTGACATGAGTCAAGGCAATGATGGCTGCTGCTGCAATCTTGCTCCACCTTACTTACCCTGCCCTATCTAAACCTATTCACCTTGGTAGCCACCGGATACTGTGGATCTTCAGTGGCACAAACTTTCCTCTTTGCACCGCACCTTTGCATAGACGTCTCGTTCTATACGCATATCGTCTTCACCTTTCCTGCGTTTCAGGGTTCGCCAGAACAACAGCCTACATCCTGGACATGACTCGTGATGAGCAGCCGTTCATTCCCGAGCTCCAGCGAACGTATCCAAAGCTAACAGTGCTATTCAACCAAGTCCTAAGGCAGCCCGATGGAAGAGGGTGCTCTTTTGCAGCTGGGTCGTTCAAAAAGGAACCACCCAACCAAAACAAGGAAATGAGGCTACTCCCGTGTTCCAGTTCTCCATCTTCGTCGAGTGTCCCTGCTTCTGCTGCTCGATAAGTTGCCGCGTCGGAATGCGGAGGACCCCAACGCTCGTTGAGACCCCCCAGTCATCGGCCATGGCAGGCAGGGATTGACGCGGCTCTTTTCTTCACTGCTCGAAATTCCCCAGATCAAGGTCCTTTCCGAGGAAAAATGGGACTTCTCAAAAAAAGATCCAAAATTAACCTTGTCTTTGGAATGTAGCCTCTGGGCTTGATTGATTTTTTGGCAGATTGGTGATTTTTGCGAATAGGGCACTATTCCGGAACCGGAAAACCGAGCACCCCGTCAGCCGAAACTGCAAATGCCGGGGCTTTGCACGTCGCATGCCCTGTGCGAATGGATAATTGTTTCTGCGCTGGCGAATTCTCAAACATTCTCTCACCAACATGAAGTCCCCACTGCATTCAAAGCTCCTAGACTTGACCGAGCCGTTGCAACATCCCGCCGCACCTGCAGCAGGCGGGCGAGTGTCACCAGCAGGTGGGTCAAAAAGCCCAGTGCGGTACTCACCTCCCGCTCCTGAAGTACAATCACATAAGTCTTGGGCCATAATATAGGGGTTATATAAGGTTTGTATAGGGGTTATGTAGGGGTTATATAGGCATTCTCCGTTCTGTGGCGGCTGTGCTCTTTCGTGCACAGCATGCTCAAAACGCTATGGCGGGGATTGGCGGATGATGGCTTGCAGGCAGATCTGCCAACTTACCTGGCTTATACCCAATTTATAAAATCGTAGTTTCCACTTTCTTTTCAATTATCCCTTTCTACCCCCTGTAGATACCCTATTCTAATACAGTAGTTTCCACTTCACCACCTAGTCGGCAGGCTTTCTTGCGGCTTCTGGTCACGCTACAACCTGGTGCTGCACGGGTTCTGTCTCCGGCTGCGGGTCTTGGTGCTTCAGCCGCTCGGTGCTGGCAATACAGAGACCACGAATAGTCCAGTACCTCTCACCTTAGCTACACAGCTGCTGCGGAGGGAACAAATTTTGGATTCTCGCGACATGCGCTTGACAGGATTCCGTCCGCGGTCCAATGCAGGGTCATGCATGCACCAAACCACTCAACACCGAGTAGTGGCCCCTGCTGCTAGGGTAGATTCATAGGGGAAACCCAAGCAGGACAGACCCTCCAAGAAGGACTTCTTGAAAGGAGATTCACAAAGGAAGCTGCGGTTCTTGGCGGGGTCCAGTTTGGGGGGCCCTTCGGATCTACCTGAGTTGCATGCTGCCAAGCTGCAGTCCTGCAATGGGTAGACCTGAGCAACACTTCCACGTCAATAGCGACAGGGCTGCACAGTTTCTGCTGCATGCGTCGTTGAACTAGGAACCACTGCGCGCCGCGCCTGACGGACCTCGTGCAGCAGACGAATCTGCTGGCAGCGCAGCTGGCGACAGATCTTGTGGTGCTCTACGGCAACCTCAAATTCCATTTACATGACGCCTGACTCATTCTGCGCTTTTAAGGCCCTGGCTACAATCGCTACCAGTTGTACAATGCTACCTTTTCACAGAGTCCTCTCCTGCCCCGGAGTGGAAGATTGGAATCCTCTTGAGAATTACCTGCTTTCATGCCGCCCTTCAAAGGTTCGCACCTTGCCATGCTCGCCCGTCAAACACGCCTCCCACGACTGCTGCAGCTGCGCCTTGCAAATGCTTTCTGGAAATCGAATAGATTCCAAGCAGATTTGGTAAGGGGAGATGAAGCACATTGGGTAACGTTCCTTTTCGTCATTTAACGTTGCCCCTGCTGACGCTAACTTTGCCGAAGAACAAACCTCCATCATGCAGCAGAAGGGTGGAGGCAGCGGAGGCGGGTAACAGGACGAGCCCGTCATCATCCTAATACAACAGATATCATCTAACCCAAACACACACACAAAAGAAAAAAACATATTCGAATCACGTAGGCCGCCACATACAATCTCGATCAACCCGCCAAGGCACCCTGCCCATGTTCTTTGCACTTATTTTCCCATCATCTTAGTTCTACAGCTTACCGCGCTGAAAGACCTTCGTTCCAGCTTCATTTGCCACATAAGTTTTCCCAGTTGATTCTCTGTTACTCTTCTCCTTTGACCCCCAAACACTCCGTTTCATGTTCCATCACTCTTCAATTTCAGCCCCCAAACGCCCAACCCTAAACCCTACACCATGAACCCAAAGCCCTACGCCCTTAACCCTAAACACTAAATGGTAGCTTGCATTTCCTTTCCTATAATCCTTATATCATCCCCATCTAACCCCTATACCATTCCTATAAATCCCCTTACCCTAATCCCTGAACTCTTCACCCTACATCCCTAAACCCTAATCCCTAAAACCTAAATCCCCCCTTTCTACAACAGCTGGCCTGAGCTTGCCGCAGCCTGGACCTGCCCATCAAGGGCGTGGGGCGGCGGCTCGAAGCTTCAGGGCCAGGCGCTACCTGCCCAAAAAATGGGTTCTATAGGGCTTTATGAATTTTATATTGGGCTCTGTAGAGGTTATTTAGGAAGCTATAGGAGGTTTTGGGCCTGGGGCTTATGGCTTGGGACTCAGGATCCTTTTCAGCGCTCGTCCAATCCAGGCTTGAAGAGCCCGTAGGCCCGAGCATCTATGGGTCTACGACTCTTTTAAGCAACTCTCTGCCGGCCGCTCTTCCGGCTCAGCATTCAACACTTAGGATTGCAACTTGAGATTCAAGGCTCAGCAGCCTTTTTAAGGAGATTCTCGCAGAAAGTTCATGAGCCTGCGACCCTTTGACCTTTGAAGGTGGCCATATGGCTATATGGGATTCCATGTTTGGAGGAGGGGCCCTGTACAACCCCCCACATACCCTAGATCGCAACTGTGCCATCCACGCCTGGGCACCAGTAGCTGATCGGCGCCACCACCGCTGCCTGCCAGGTGCGCATGTAAAGGAATTAAACCGGGATAGGTGGGGGCTATATGAGCGTTCGCCGAAACTCCTTGTATAATCCGATGCTATGGACAATTTGGGGGGGTCCTATCGCTTTCGAGGGTTTTGGCGTAGGATACAAGCAACGGTATCAACTTTGGGGGGTTCAGCCAACACACAGTCATGCTTACGTCTTAGATTGAGGGGTATCGCTTTTGGGGGGTCCTATCGCTTTTGAGGCTTTTTGCGCGGTTCCTACATCTCACGGCATTCCTTCTCTTCGTGCCTAAGACGCGAGTATGGACCATTTCTCATGTAGGTATTACATAGGGCCAATCATGGAGAATCTAACGGAACGGCAGATGGAAAATGAAACGGAAGCTACAATATTAGGAATATGGGGGAGCTCTTGGGCTCGGTTAGATTTTAAAACTGAGTGCCACACCGCAGCTTCAACCATCATTGTCCAAGAGCGTGAGTTGGCCAATGGGACATCCCCAAAGACAAGAATACTGCCTGCTACAAGAGTCGGACCAGATAGAGCCAATGCTTCTCCTTTGTCCCTTCTTCGTCCTCAAAGCCTGCTCCAAACATTCACCTCAACGAACCCAAAACACGCGGACACATACAAGGAAAAACAAACACAGACACGTTGAAAAAGAACCGCGAAAGGAAAAAGTGAGTGACACCTCTACTTCTATGCGATCCCTGCAGAATCCTTGCAAGGTACCCCAGAAGACCATCATTTGGTGAAAATCCAACTACTGTATGATCCTGATTAGCGTGGGGAGCCTGAATTGTGCCAAGCTGTGCCGAAATTTTTCAGCACCCCCTAATTCGTGTAGGGGGCCTCAATTGTGAAGTTGCGCGGTCTTAAAACAAAATCTGGAAGTAATTAGCTAGAATAAAACGCATTCGTTTTTCTAATCCAAGCTGCTCTAACTACAATGTTGAATGAGAATGATTGCCTCAAGGATCTAAAGCTCCAGAAGGTCAAGTTTCAAGCCAGGTCCAGAAATATCCGTTTCGTATTAAACCGCCTATTTGAGGAGGCCAGGCAATCTTTTTTGCAGGGGTGTAGTCCAGCAGCTACTTGGGTCCTTGCAGCTGTTTGGGTCCTCAATACTCCGAGCGCATTAGGGGCTGAATTATGCGAAATTTTCAGGACCCCTAGGAATTCCAGCAAAAAAAGCCTTTCCTTCCGAAGGCTCGCCATTGAAAAGCAAACATTTCAAGATGTCAAGCCTTTTATTAGGTTTCAGGTCAAGACCAAACTATCGAATTTACCGCTTATTCGACGTGGCCAGGCAATGATTTTTGCAAGGGGGTAGTCCAGCAGCTGCAGGGGTCTTCAGTAATCCCAATGTTTTGGGGGGCTGAATTTTCCGAGATTCTCGGGCTTCCGATTCCAGAAAGCAAAAGCTCTTCCGAAATTTACTGTAATTTCGAATAGCTACTGAGCTCCGCAGCTCCGCAGCTCCGCAGCGCTCCTCCTATTGAATTTAACTTACACGAGATTCCGAGTCCCAGAGATGCTGGGATCCGGAAACCCTCCTCCTATTGAATTTAAGGTTTAGGGTTTAGGGTTTAGGGGGTAAATTCTGAGCTCCGGAAACTCCCCTCCTATTGAGTCTAAGCTAAGACTACGATCCAGATTTGTTTGGGGGGTCTCCACCCACTTTCCACTAAAAGAGGACCCATTTTTGTTTGGGGGGCGACACCCCTATGTGCCAGTTAAAGGGGCATCTAATTTGGAAACCCCCCGTATTTCAAACCAACATAGAATACGTATTCATTCTCGTTCCATTATTAAAGGGGCGCCAAGCCCTAAACCCCAGACCCTATAATCCCTGAACCCTCATCCCGAATCCCTAAACCCTAAACCCCTAAACCCTAAACCCCTAAACCCCTAAACCCTAAACCCCTAAACCCTAAACCCCTAGATTTTCCTAACCATCTTCCCAAGCCCACCTCGCGTCGAGGCTGCCAGCCTCCTCCCCTGCAGCTTCTGCTCGGAGCAGCTCCAAACCTTTCAACGCAAAGGGGGAATATAGGGGATATTCAAGGTATAGGGTTTAGGGGTTTAGGGTTTAGGGGTATATAGGGGGTATATAGGGGGTACATAGGGAGTATATAGGGTGTATATATAGGGGATATGTAGGGGGTATACAAGGATTTTACCCCAACAATGGAAAAT